ATTGGTGGGAAGAGGGGGAGAAAAGGTGGAAGAGATATTGCTCATATTCGGAATGTTTAAAATTGTCCAGGTTTCAAGGTGACCATATCAGTCCCACCATGGCTTCAGTTATCTTAGCTAATAACCTCTATCCTCCCTGTGTGTGGCCCTGAGGTACATTTTGACTCTTCCCTCAGTCTGTTATTTTTGAGGCTGAACTTGTGTGTGCATGGGCGTGGGTGTGTGTTTGAGTGCCAGCATCTATTAGGAATAAGGCACTGTAGAAGTCACAACTTTACAAAAGTGGGGGTGGGGGAAAGGGGGGAACCAGCCAACCAATCCATTTCCCACAATACTCTTCCACGTCTCCAAAGATTGCATGCAATACAAGTTGTTCTTGTGTTTGTAACTGTCTTTCTTCCAGGTCTTGGAAAAGAGGTTTAACCCAGTCACCACCAAAGACCTCTAGAAATGCATCCCTGTCTCCACTTCCTCCCCCAATATATGCGATAGTATGGGAAACAAATTCTCTGTACTCTCCAAGCTCTAAAGTTTAATATTCAAGTAGACATTTCAAGGCCTTGTCCAAGGTTAGCAACTCTTTATATTTATGGTGGAGAAATTTTTTACAAAAATCTTCCTTTGTGGTGTTGGCTAGTGATTAGAACACTGGGAAATTTGGACCAATTAACCCTTCCCCTTGCTTGCCAAATTCCCATTCCCACTGTAAATGTGTTTTTGTAAGTTTGCTAAAGGAGAGTGATGCCTCGCACTGAATCTTAAAATGAAAAGCCCCAGCCAATGCATCCTGCCTACCCTTGGCCCCCCCCAAAATAACTCTGTGCAACAATATGCCGGGGAAACTAGGTCAGAGTTTGGGGTTACTGATTCTGACAGTCTCACATTAAACTGTCCATCTTTGAACAGTAGCAGTTGTGGGGTGGTAGCTTAGTTTTAATGGAGCCAGAGTAATTTTGGTTTGTGGTCTTTAGACTGGGGCCAACACAGGTGCATAACAAGGGAGGGGGGTCTGCTGACCCTAGGAATACCGTGGCCAGCTCATCAGACGCGTCTTTTGCTCTAGCAGCTGTTACACCTTTCCGCCTCTAAAATCAAATCAGCCACTTTTCTTAAGCCACCACAACCCTTCTATTGGGTCCCTGTGATACTCAAGTTGAATAGTAAAGCTGAATAGTAGGGAAGCACCGAACTTGATTGGAAGTCCAAACGTAACCTCTCGTCTACCAGCTTCACCTCCATCATTGCCACTATCCTCAGGATGGACTGAAAAAGGGTGCTGATGACTGACTAGAAAATTGAGTCAAATGACTTTGGGTACAAAGCGGGTTGGCCCTTTTTAGTGGGTTCAAAATCATTTTGATAAGGCCACAAACTTTCTTTTGTCAGTGTAACTTAAAGTGGTGTCAACCTGGACCAAGAGAAATTGTTTCACTGTGCAAGTATGGGAATGGGAGCAAAACACCCTCCCCCCCATTCCTATTACAATTGGTTTGCGGGTAAAAGGGATGTTTGGAAAAGCGAGGAAGAAGGCTCACTGGGAAGATTGGTGTTACGTGTGCGAAGAGAAAAGATTTAATAAAACAAACATCTCCCTCCTCCCCCCGTTGTTTTGCTGGAGTCCAGTTGACAAGTAGCACTTTTGACAGCATCCTCTGTCTCTTATGCGTGTGAGCCATGAGGAGGGGAAAAGGTTGGCTTAGTTACATAAGGGGAGGAAAGAAGGCACATGATTTTTAGTCAGTCTTGACTGAACCCCATGTTTTGAAAGCAAGGTCAGTTTAGCTGGAGGGTGAAAAGTGCTTACTGGAACAGAGGCCCACACTGTAGTAGCTTCAGGGGGAAGGGA